TAGTCTAGTCTATAGTCTAGTCTATAGTCTAGTCTATAGTCTAGTCTATAGTCTAGTCTATAGTCTAGTCTATAGTCTAGTCTATAGTCTATCTAGTCTATCTAGTCTAGTCTATAGTCTAGTCTATAGTCTAGTCTATAGTCTAGTCTATAGTCTAGTCTATAGTCTAGTCTATAGTCTAGTCTATAGTCTAGTCTATAGTCTAGTCTATAGTCTAGTCTATAGTCTAGTCTATAGTCTAGTCTATAGTCTAGTCTATAGTCTAGTCTATAGTCTAGTCTATAGTCTAGTCTATAGTCTAGTCTATAGTCTAGTCTATAGTCTAGTCTATAGTCTAGTCTCTAGTCTAGTCTATAGTCTAGTCTATAGTCTAGTCTATAGTCTAGTCTATAGTCTAGTCTATAGTCTAGTCTATAGTCTAGCCTAAATCTACTACTTAATTATTTTAAATTTTTGTTCTTTTATATTTCGATAAACATTAGTGTTTGGTTACACGAGGGTTAATATTTCAGATAATACAGAAATAGCAACATTTTGATTTACTCAAGCATAGTTATTTTAATAATATCTTTTTGTTGCTACTAACATGTATGCAAAAAAGGTTTGTTAAAAAAATGTAAACTAGGTGAAAAATAAATATATTATAACCTTGAGGTTATAAAAACTAAAACTTCAAAATAGAGTAAAAACAAATAAAATATCAACTTGGTCAGTTGATGAATATTCCTTTGATTGTGCTCATAATTTGCATAACATGTCATGCGAAAATTCTATTCTGTTGAAAATTTTTTTTGTGGCAAAAATTGTGTATACTTTTTTGTTTATGAACAACACACGACTGCTACCTACAACATTTTTGTGTAGAAAAATTTAAGAAATAATTTTGTAACTATTATTAATTAATATTCTACTACATGTTAGACTTTGTACACACAATTAAGTGAATGCAAAATTCATGTTTTTCTTATGTAGTTTTTTTATTATAATAATGTAAATGTTATGTTTGGTTATGTAAAGAGATTTTAAAAACATTTTAAGTTTTCAATAAATTTGAGTAAATATAGCCAATTTTCTTTGTATAACATATGTATGTGTGTGTGAGTATGTATATGTATGTATATATTTTTTAAATTTTAATTATTTATCTCATCATGCTTAGTGTAGCAATTTTAATTAAGTTTGAAATACTCTTACTATATTATTTAGATTAATTAATTTATTTACGACCTCTTAAGTATTCAAGTGCTTTGAGCTAAAATTATTATACATTAATTATTCATATTTAATATTTATGTATGTAGTGTAGTGTTCTAACTTGATATCAACTTGCAATAAAATCTCAAGTTTGTGGAGATATTTACTTCAATGACTAAATAGCATAAAATATAAAATCGAACTCTTCTACACCCAAAACAAAAACTGCAGAAAAATTTATAATTAAAATATGTAAATTAGCTTTTAAAAATTCACTTCAATAAAACAGGGAGTTTACGAAAAAAGTAAAATAAGCCAAAATAAAAATAATTTTGTCATTATTGAATAACTACGAAAGTACAGGCGGGCATGTATGAATGTATGGTACTCTATATTATACTTGTTTGTAGGGTTGTGACGTTTTCCCATCTAATGAAACGTACGAATTTTACGAACGAGATATCGTGTCCTAAAGTTTGAAAAACGTAATTTTTTTCCGTGTTTGCTTTTAGGTAAAGGTTGAACATCTGATATGCATATGTATCTTCATTGAGATATCTTCATCTAAAACTCTCCTTAATTTTTTTCCTTTTAAAATACCTTTTGAATTGTTTAAGGATCTGGAGCAATTGCTGAAATATCATCAATTGAATTTGACATTGTTAAATCGAATCAAAAAATGATTTTGTATCCAATATTTTTGACTGTTATAAACAATATTTATCCGCCCAATAGTAGTGGAGGTTAGATTCCACTTAGAAGTAATTTTTTTCTTAGAGGTTTTTATAATTAATTATTGCACCCGATCGGTATCGCCATAGCGATCGGTAGGTTAGGTTATTGAGGCAGTAGGCCATTTGACCGACTCACTTGGGTCCTAGTGGTCCCGTTGTGATAACCTGTAACGGATCCTGCGAAAAAGAAAACCAAAACCTATGTGACATTACATGTCCATGATTGATACGGTATTAAACCAGCCAGAGGCACGAATGAACAATTCCATCTTATAAATGTCTATATTAGATAGAGCCGCAAGTTCATGCAAAGTTGGACTCCCTAGAACTCTGTCCTGATATTTGCCAGGGCAGGACAGACAACTCCTGCAATAGTCATTGTATGGAAGATTTAGCCTTCTTGCATGCACACCTATAGTACAGTGCCCTGTTACGATTGCTACCAGTATAAGGCGGTCATTCTTGATGTTGAGCAGTGGGTCAGTGATGACCATCTGGTCTGAGCAGACCCATAAAGTTCATGCTGAATAAAGGCTTTACAGAATGAAAGCGGGACACCAACTAAAGTGTCAGTATCACTTATGTGAAGAAGAGAATCAGTTTTCGCTATTTCCGGGAATATTAGAGTGACCCGGTACCCAGAGTAGTGTTCCAGACACGAATGGTTCGCCATCTCGTCAAGAGACACCCGAGATTCGCGAACCAGTCTGGATGTCGTGTAGACACCAGATAAAGATTTTATAGCAGGTTTACTATCAGTACAAATTCGAATATTTCCATTGCATATACTATAGTACCTCATCCAGTTAACTGCTCTTTTTATAGCTGAGATTTTAGCTTGTAAGACGCTACAGTAGTTGTCTAGCCTAAAACACACCGCCTTATTAAAGCGGGGGATAAAGAAACCACCACCCACGCCTGTTGAGGACTTAGATCCGTCAGTATAGATGTCAAATGTTGCACCCTCTAAGACATCATAACATCATAACTGTGAATCTTTTGTCTGGAAGGAGCGTGGTAGAGCAGTAATCGATATTCTCGGGGATGCAAGTCGTATTCCCCAGGATAGAAGCATGACCATGGCGGTTTTGCTGAGTTTAAGGCCAGTTGTCTGGCCATCAGATAGCGATCGGTATCTTATATTAGTGTTTATTTGTGTGTGGATTCGTTTAAAGTACATATATAGACGGATCGATTTTCCTTAACATTTCGCACTGTCTTACAGTATGTCTAATAAAAACTATAGGTGACTTTTTCTTTAGCATTTAGATGTTGACGAGATGCCTAGCACCAAAAAAAACTACAGCTAAAATCTTCCAATTTTTAGCATGTACAAGTTTGAAATATGAGCGATCTATAAATAGCGGGCGTGACACCTCTCATATGAATTAAGTACTAAAATTCATATCTTTGGAAAACTTTAACTAGTAACTTAAGTGCCAATATAAATATTAAGGATAAAACTGTTCGAAAATAATAGAAATAGTGGGTGTGGCAGCTTATATATGAATAAAATACAAAAATTTTTATGTTGCGGAACTATGACAGATAAAGTCTGGAAATTATACACAGATAAATTTTGCGCAACAATAGTGAACATGTCCGTTAGAAACTACAGGCGACATATTCAGCATTTTGAAGTTGGCGAGCTGCCATTAATTACCAGAATTTGCATATTTTAATACAATACCCAGCAAAAAATAATTGATGTCATACTTTACAAACTACATCTTAATCACATCTTAAAATGCGATTACATATTTTTCACTTTTATAAACCAAATATTTCCTTACAAATGAAACCCCAGTTAAAAGTGAGGAAAGAGATGTGGAAAAGTCATTACAAATAACATATTTGAAGTACATCAAGATTTGGTGAAAGAGTAGTGAAATTTACATAAGCGTGTCATTAAGAGAATGTGTTTTATTTTTGACATCCAAATATCGGATTTTTACTGCTTCTAAAAATAAGATTAGATGTAGTTCAAAGTTGCCAAAAATGAGCAACATCCCTCCAATGACACGCAAATGTAAAATTCATAGGTTTTACACCCGACATACATATGAACATTTCGGAAAACATTTTGCCCAACAACAGTCGGCGTCGCACCTCTCAAGCAAAGAAAATAATCTATGTATCCGTCAAACTAAAATAGAGAATAGAGGCGCACCAACTAAGTATATTAAAAATTTTGGGAATTTTAGGTGTAGGGTAAAAATAATCTAAAAATTCTTACACGACAAAATCAATTTTCTGTAAAAGATTTTATTTTTTTGGTAACAAAATTATTAAATAATAATTTAGGCTAATTTGCATATAAAACAGTTGAATTATGTGCCACAAGTTGTGTAATGTTTATTTAGATTCTTAAAATATGGTAAAATATAAAAATAATATTGATGAAATATTAACAATCTTAAACTCAAGTGGCAGGATTTCGTGTTCTTTTTTATAAAATGCATAAATATTGACAAAATATTGAGGGTTTAAGGGAAAACGTTTTTAAACCCTTGCAAACATAATGGTGGTTGGTAGTTAAGTCAAGTATTTGTTGTTGTTGGAAGTTTTGAAAATGTGTATTTTCGTTATTATTATTATTTTCGCATATAAATTGATGTTAATGTTTCTTTAAATAAAAATCAAATCTTGTTTACATAAATTATTGTTGTTAGTGTCAAGTAAAGTGTTTTGAATTTTATTTAAGTTAAAGTGGGTTGTTTTGTATACTTTTGTTTGTATTTTATTGTTTAATACTATTCAGCCTAATTATATACTTTTTAAAATTGTAAATTTAATGTATTTTTTATATTGAATAGAGTTTAAAAAATGATGGACTACCTGTTTGCCGAAGTGTTATTTTTATTGATAAGAAATCTTCTAAGTTTACCAAAACAAGAAACTCTAAATGTCGTTTAAATTCGTAAACATTTCTAAACTAATCTAAAGTACCTAGCAAAAACTTATATTGAAAAGTAATGGGTTAAAATGCTAACATTTTAAGTCATTATTTTAACACGGTGATGACATTGGAGACAAGCTCTCTTACAAATAGGAAGTTAGGTAAGTACTTACTACGATAGTAGTTTTGATATTTAGAAGAAACCATAGACTACAATAATATGTCCAAATTCCAAACCAATATACATATATAGGCTAAAAAGTAAGTACTTATAATTATATTATTTTTAAGTCATTACTAGACTCCTTCTGAATAATGAGGACTGCATGTATTAGTCATTGAAAGGTTGTTGTTGTTGAGTAAGTACAAGTCATTACCCTGATTTTGTTGGGTATTTAAGGAAACCACTCACTGCTTGCCCAGTTCTTTATATAGGAAAAATGGTCGTAAAATGATTTCAAATAGTTGTTAAGTAAGTACTTATCTCGTCACTGCATCGATCTGAAATATAAAAAAAAAACTTTCTAAATTTATTGGATCAAAGACTTTTATTTATAATTTACTATTAAAAAATTAACAAATAATTTTCAATAGCACGTTTAAGAAAATATGTCTAAGTTTAGATAACAAACTGCAATCCTACGAGTAACAAACATTGCGAGTGCTCAAGAACCTACTATTAACAGTGCTTAAGAACTGGTAACTCTTTTTAAAATAATCACACTAATTATCTACTACCCACCTACATTCTTAAAGACTTAGACAATTTAATCGAAATTATAATGAGAATACAACAGAAACACTTATAATAAAAAATTGCCAAAACTTCAAAGATTACCGCAATAAAACGATAAGATTAGTAACAAGAAAACATATTAAGTACACAAGAACTAAATAGGTGAATAGTATCAAAATAAAAACAAACAATTAAATTATTTGGTATAAATAGCGTAGATTTAAAATTAAACTAAACAATTTAGAATCACACGGCAATTGAGAAACTTATTAAATCCCACAAATCCAAAAAAAATTTAAATATTAGAAAATGACTAAAATCATTAAAGTGTTCATGGTGATAATTTATGCCGTAAATTTGATACAAAACTCTATGGGTCAAACACCCGTGAGAAAATGTAAGTAGCTTAATTTTAAATATTCTATAATAACTGTTAAATTTTACATTTAATACTTAAACGCTTAGGTGCCAATGGTCTACCAGAACCCTTATCGGTACAAGTAAACTCGTGTAGCGAAATGCCCTGCAGTTTATGGCGAGGTTTCTCCACAAACATGGAAATACAATTCGTGTCCACTAAAGATTCGGTTCGAGATATTAAAGCCGATATTCAGATGACTACTGCGGGTATAGGCATGTCTTTGGGATTATCTTCTGAACGCAAAAATGTTTGTAATAATTTAATGTTTGATGCCTATTGTCCCATGGATGCAGAGGAGGATGCCACTTATCATTTAGTATTGGATATAGCAGATCACCAGCCTGAAGTGCCGGTTAAAATAGAGGTATCCATTAAAGATGCCAGTGATGATACAGTGTTTGCCTGTTTTGTATTGGATGGAAAAATTACAAGGCGCAATGCAGCCTTAATGTAAATATCTGAGACTCTTTTATATTTTCTTTTGTTAGATTAGTTAGAAATTTAGATTTAAGAGAAAACATTGTATCAATGTTTTATTATATAGGAGACATATATATCATGTATAAAATGTAAGTTGTAATAAAGAAGTAAAATTCCTAAAACATTATAATAAAATTTTTTCCAAAAATTTGTTTCATCGAACAATATAAAAATAATTAATAATAATTATGATTAATTTCTATAAATAGAGAATTTATGGACATTTTTCAATAAAAAGAAAAATTACAATAAAGTTTCTATAAAATTAAAATGTATAATACATTTCCTATCAAATATTTTTTTTTTTATAAAATTCATCGAGATTGTTGAAAAAAAGGAAGATTGATCAAAATTGCTCTATAAAAATGAAGATTGATCAAATTTGTTCTATAAAAAGAAAATTCATCGAAATTATTCTATAAAAAGACAATTTGTCGAAATTATTCTATAAAAAGAAAATTCATTGAAATTATTCTATAGGAAAAAAATTCATCAAAATTATTCTATAAAATGAAAATCCATCGAAATTATTCTATTAAAAGAAAATTCATCGTGATTGTTTTATAGAAATAAAATTTATCGAAATTGTTCTATAAAAAAGAAAATTTATCGAAATTGTTCTATAAAAAGGAAAATCATCAAAATTTTATAAATTGTTTTTTTTTTAATTTTATAAATTTTATAAAAAGAAAATTTATTGAAAATATTCTATAAAAAAGAAATTCATCGAAATTTTATATAAAAAGAAAATTCATCGAAATTATTTTATAAAAAGAAAATTTATCAAACTTATTCTATAAAAAAGAAAATCTATCAAAAATTTTTTATAAAAAAGAAAATCTATCGAAAATTTTCTAAAAAAAAGAAAATCTATCGAAAATTTTCTAAAAAAAAGAAAATCTATCGAAAATTTTCTAAAATAAAGAAAATTTATCGAAAATTTTCTATAAAAAAGGAAAATTTATCGAAAATTGTCTATAAAAAAGAAAATTTATCGAAAATTGTCTATAAAAAAGAAAATTTATCGAAAATTGTCTATAAAAAATAAAATTTATCGAAAATTTTCTATAAAAAAGAAAATTTATCGAAAAGTTTCTATAAAAAAGAAAATTTATCAAAAAGTTTCTATTAAAAGAAAATTTATCAAAAATTTTCTATTAAAAGGAAATTTATGGAAAACATTCTATTAAAAGAAACTGAAATTTTATCGAAAATTTTCTATTAAAAGAAAATTTATCCCACATTTTCTATTAAATTTGTGGAAATATTTTTATAAAAAGAAAAATTTTCGACAATTTTTCTTTAAAAAAAAATATTATATAACAAAAACAAATTTATCATAAATTTTCTACAAAATTAAAATTTATCATAGATTTTCTATAAAAAGATATTTTTTGTAACAAAAAAATTTTCTTTAAAAAAATAATACTAGAAGAAAATTATGTTTAACCCAGCAAAAAAAAAAGATGTACCTACAAAAGAATTACATTTATCATCACTTCAAAATTAGCACTAAGTGAATTTTTTTAGAATCTGTAGAAGTGTTGTTTATTGATTTCTAAAGTCTAAACTGAAGATATATTTATTACTGACATTTTTTTGAGTTAAAAAATGTTATTTTGCGGTTTTATATTAAATGTGTGTAATTCCTTTATATCACTTCCAAATAACTTCCAAAAAAGAACATAAAAATTACTTCTTGAGAATGACTTCAGATGTAGTCAATTTGGAATCAAATAAAAAAAAACATTCCTCTTATGACAAGCCTGGGTTAAAATCATCACTTCTTCAGGTCTTTTTCAGTACTTCTATAGAGTAAATTCTATACTTTTTTCGCTTCTTTGGAAATTGTTTTTTTATTGGGAAATAGAAGATGTATGTATGTGTTGTAAAAATTGTCAATGGAAATGGAACAATATTATTTTCTTAAAAATTTAAATTCATGGAATCTTCTGGTGAAAATTCATATAAAACCCTAATTTAACTAATTAATTCCCGACATAAAAATTTTCTTTGAAAAAAGTTCAAAAACATAATTTTGTTTATATGTATATTACTGGTAATAGTTATAAGAATTCACAAACAATTTTGTTAATCTAACATAATATTAATTAATTCCTATTTGGTAAACTAAACCTAAAACTTCTAAACGCCTACAATATCTTACCCACACACGCACACACAGACACAATAATAATATAAATCCTGTTAAACACCAGTTACAATGAAATTTTTCTTAATATTATTGCCTTCTATCTCTATTTATTTGACAGCTATCTGTCATTAGAGACATATTTTGACAGACAAGCTGAGCACATGTTTATAATAAGTTAAATACTGCTTCCACATACCCTCTAACCAACACATACATACTAACTTAAACATTATACATAAATCACCCTACAATTTGAAACATTAATACGATTTTATATCCCTCTTAACAAGGCGTTGAAACAGCTTAATTAAATGACGCAGAAAATTACTCAAACCTAAATTGGTTCCAAATAAAATGTATAAAATACAAGAGGTTACATAACATGGTTATTACATATAGATACACGAGAGTGAATGATTTTTTTTATAATAAAGTGTTACACAACATTTTTACCTTGTGGTTTTTAAACTTGTGAAAAGTGCGTAGAATTTTACTGCGTGCATTTTGCAATATATCCCCCTTTTTACTACATAGTATTTTATAAAATAGTTTTTGTATGTAAATTTTTATTATTTTATGGAGTAAGTAGCTGGTTGTTGTAAAAAGCATTTAAGTCTAATCATTATTAATTTTATGTGCCTTAATTAAAAGGATTTAGTAGTATTTTAACAAGGTTGTAATGTCGTTGATAATTATTGCAAAAAAAGTTAATTATTAATACAAATGACGCCAAACTTAATTGGTAGCTAAAATGTAGAGCAACAAAAACTGTTCTTTGCGACTAAAGTATGATGTAGTTCAGGATGTTAATAATCATTAATTAGAAATGAACAAAAATTTGAGAAGTGTCAAATAGGTATTGCAGGTATACCTAAATATTTTTAAAGAAATCATTTAATAATTTTTATCTACAACAGAAATAAGAAATTTTTCATTTTCATAATATAGTTGCGACAACTAAATATATGTTTCAAGTGACCATAATATAGTTGAATTTCTTGTAATAATGTTAGAACAACTGATTCAACTATGACTAACATGTTTTTCTCTTCTGACTAACTTGTTTTTCTCTTCCTTTCATAACTTCAAAAGCTTCGAAAAATTTGTCATTTGAACGACATAATTTATATAATCCAATATAAAATCAACATTTTTAAATATATCAAAGTAATTGGAAATTCAACTTCCTCTTTTCCAAAATAATCTGAAAAAAAGTAACAAGCAACAAAAATATTCGGAAATATAAATTTCTTTTTAAAAGAATAAATCACAGTTTTTTTCTAATACAAACTATTTTAAAATAAATATATATTTTTTTCAATCACATTTATGAAATCAAAATTATTATCTACTTAGACTATTATTTGTTTAGAAAAGTTTTATGTGCTTCTATTTTGCTTTAGAAATCTTTCAAAATGTCATTACATAACTATAGTATTTAAAAGGACTTTGTATATGAATGCGTGCGAACGTTTGTATATGTGAGTCTGTGTTTACAACTTCAACAACAATAGTGTAATTACTGAACACAATAGTAGTTGTACCAAAAAAAAATATATACCCTCCTGTGGCCAGGACTTAAAGACTTATAGAAAAGAGAACAAAAACTACAGAAAAAAACATATGGTAGTAAACACACAGAATACGAATGTATGTACATATATTATATATTTTGACTCTATATCCCCTGCCAGCAATTTTGTAGTCGACTACGAGAAAAATTCACTTCTAGTTTACTTTTACAGACTGACTATAAGCTAACTACAATGTAATGCAGAGCTGTCCCTAAATTTTGTATTTGGCAACGTAAAGAACCGACTTTTAAATACTAACTACAAGCTAACTATAATGTAATGCAGAAGTGCCTCAAAATTATCTGGAGAGAATTAATTGTATTTCAACATGTTTTCTCTTGTTTCTCTATTATTATGATTTTATTTGTTAACTATAGTAGACTGACTATAAACGAACAACAATGTAATGCAGAAATGTTCCAAAATTTGGTATTTATTAACGTAAACAACCGACTTTTAAAGACTAGCTACAAGCTAACTATCATATAATGCGGGAGTACCCCAAAATTATCTGGAGAGCATTTTGTTTCGACATGTTTTCTCATGTTTCTTTATTATTTGGAATTTTGTTTTACATTTTTTCATTTTCTTGTATACGTTGTGAAATTAGAGTCAGTAAATTGGAAAAATTAATTATAAAAGGTTAAATATTTCAAAACTCGGTCCCTAAATTATAAATTCTGCCGATCACTACTGTAAATATAATACATTAACAGTTAACATTACACATAACATTTTAAAATTTATTTTAGATTTTGATCAATGGGAAACATGGAAATAATGAACAAATCATTCATAATTGTATGGATACCGGTGTTATTATTAGTTCCCCTGCAGAAAACTGATGTCTATTAATTTTAACGAACTAATATCATAACTTGTATTAAAGCGAAATGTAATTTAGATAACTAGTAGTTAATTTTTAAATATATTTAATTAAAATTTAATTAATTAATACAGTAGGGAATACAAAAGAAAACTATTACTTGACTTTTCTGCAACTAACTTTAAGTTAGTTAATAAAGAGTTACCTTTAAGCTAATTTTTTAGTAACTAACTTTAAGCTAGTTGAAAAGTCATGCAGAGTCGGACAATTGACTACTGCGTAGGACATCGCCATGTTAAAATAGTCAGTTGGCTCCATTAAAAATAATCCAAGAATCAACCATAACTAGTTGATGAAAAAGTCAGCTTTTAATGCATTTAAAGTTAGTTGAGTTGCTGGCAGGGTCCTGATGCCACCTAGTTATATGTATTTCAAGGTGGTAGCAGCAATTTGCCACCCAAATGCTTTAAGCGGATTGTTGTCTTTCAACCGCAAGTTTTTTTGTCCACAGGCAAACATACACACAATATACAATATTTTCAAAT